ATCAGACAAGTTATAAACCAGCCAACAGTTCTATCTTATAGTCAGACAAAAACATTCATTGGAGGTCAAATCTAAACCGATGTGTATTACTAGTATTAAAAAGTCATATTGGATTGGTTTGACATTTACTCATTAAGTGTAGAGTTTGTTTATAGGTGCCAACATACAGTCTTATAAACTGTAAGGAGAAAAACAGAATGTAACTGGAGGGGATGAGTCAGGGAATAACAGGAAGACACAGATGAAAGAAAGAAAGGCAGGAAACGGCAGACTGGGGGTCATTCAGAGCCGTGAGGCAGATGGAGGGAAGGAGACAAACAGGATAGTAGATGGAGCAACAAGATGACACAGAGAGACAAAAGGAAATAGAAAGAAGCAGGCTTTTATTTCTCCGTTAGCAGATATATGAGGGGAAGACATGAGGAGATACTGTGCTGAACAGATGCTGTGCTGAACAGATGCTGTACGTAGGAGGTTGAACAAGGTCAGAAGGGAAAAGTAAATGTTCTGTTTATACCTGTATGGACTTAATTTAGTGTGAAGGGTTAGGGTTAGGTGAACCATGTACAAATATATGAACAAAAGAATATGCAGCAACAGCTCAACAACACCCTCAGTGCTTAGAAATCCCTCTCTGCAAAACTGCACCTGTGTTTTTAAATAGATCATTTGCCTGAATAAATAAATGATTAATAAACCTGGTGTGTCCATTTGTCTATTTTATCATGAGTGCTCCAAAGCATGAGCATCACAATTCAGCACTCTTGAGATAATGGACCTCACCATGTTAATGCAGCACTTTGAAAAGCTGCCATTGACTGGGTCTTAATGAGTGGAAAACACAGCAAAGATGATTTACACTTTGAGTTGAGCATTAACTCACCAATGTCAATACTCATCCTCCTTCAACAAACATATTGTGATAAAAAAAAAAAAAAAAAACAGCATGTGGATGAACTAAATGTCTTTGAAAGTTAAACATAACATCTCTTTGGGAACAGAAACTTTAAAACCCCCCCCAAAAAAGTTCTCTTTGACTATGAAACATTAGTTTGATGTGAGCTAGGGGTGCTACTAGTGCATTGAACTTTTGTTATTGACATATACTTTTTGATAACGAATTATATGCCTGTCGATGAATAAATAAAGCCTTTAAATGTTTAATCACCTATATAAGTTATGATTTGATAATAATACCAGCATTATGCTTTTACCTTTAAGAAATGTTCTAACCTATTTCACCCGAACTGTGACATAGTAGTCCACATTTTGTCTTCCCCTTAGCTAATAATCCAGTTCATTTGACTCTGTTCATGCTGTCTGTATGCAGTGTGTGTAGTGCATGTACCAGGTCTGTGAGAGGGGACATGTACATGCTGACAGTGATCACGCTGCAGGTGAGACCGAGCTGGCTGAGCCGAGTTTCCCCCTCAGGAAGATACGTGGTGAAGTAGAACCAACCGCAGGTCAGTACCATACCTGCAGCTAATGTCTGGGACATCGCCAGCCTCTGAAATACACGCACACGCACACGCACACACACACACACACACAGACAGAAAAAACTGATATGCAAACAATTTATTCAAATAAAGTCAGAGCCAACTTCTGGGGCCTCAGCTGACCTTCTGTTTAGAGTAATGAAGATACATGACGATGTAAAGGATCTGCAGCAAGGCTCCTATGACATTGACCAGGATGATTGTCTGATCTGATTTCAGAACACCATAATACAACCAGCCAAGGTTACTGTGGAGACAAGAAAAGCATTAGAGAAAAGAAGTGCTTGTTTAGTGACCATACAGAAAGGATGAACCACACACACATACTCACTTAAGACACGTTGTGAGAAAAGGTAGGAACTGGATATTGTCCGCACTTTTGTTTTCTCGCATCTTCTTCAGGTCGTTCCTTGAAAAACACAAACGATAAAACAAGAAAACAAGCGAAAAACGTGAATCTTATATATGCTTTAGTTTGGGCATTCATTGAACATTCCTGCAGCTGACATGGTAACAGACAAACAAAGGGTGCAAGTTAAGAAAATCCCCTCCATTTATGGCCCTGCCTTCATGTTTTCTACACACTTAGCATCAGGAAATGTCATGGAATGCATGACACAAATGAGCATTTCAACTTACAGTCCAGTCGAGAACATCCCGACTGTAAACACGATGCAGGTCCATGACAGAAGCTGCAAAGTATCCATAGAAAGAGAAGAAATATAAAGCAGACTTCACGGTTTGAACTATAGGGGCAACGTGTCCTTTGATCGCGGATGCTTGTATTGACGTAAGGATAAATAAAGTACGATATGATTCCCTCCTCCTCTCAATTTCCGTGTTTGCAACCAGTGTGTTCAATGTTTCTGCGCGCTGATTGGGTACGGAGTGAAGAGGGTGGGAAAGATCGGCTCCAATAGGGCGCTGAAACGATGGCGGACGTCGTGCTACGTCATCACGTTATGAGAGTGAAAACTGTAGTTTCCAGGAATACATTGGAGCCTATGATTGGAGCCCATAAAGGTAAATTAAATTAATATAATAAAATAAAATAAACGTGATTGATCTTACATCCAGAATAAAATATAGCGCATAAGAAGGGCAAGATCAAAGCAAGATGAGCAGATGAATATCTGCATAATTAAGTTCCTCCAAAGGAGTCAATTGTACCTAATAGGCTACTGCATTGTTATAAAAACATGTTAACATTTATGTATTCATGTTTGCATTGTTTTCACGACAGTCCATATTTAAGACGAGTTTTTAAGCTTAGGGTCAGGAGTTGGAACTCCCCTGATTTTAATAAAGAGAGGTTTTGTTTTACTCTCTATATGGTCAGCATGACTCATTCTGATTAAAAACAAATATTACATTGTCTTCTTTTACTCTGCAAGGCACATTATAACATTAGCTGCCCAGTAAGAAATAGAAGTAATGACTTAATTCTAATATTATTCTAAATATCCATTATTTTCTTTCAAAACATTTTTTGAGTTTTTGAGGAATATATCTAAAACGACTCAGACAATCTTTCCCCTGGTGTCCCGAATGGAGTTTTCAGAAGTTTGGGAAAATAAGTTGTCATCATCTTGATCCTTTTGTAACATAAAGGATAGCTTGCAAACTTGAAAGACACGAGTGTTCAGATAATCTTACACAATTCAATTTTAATTGAATTCAAGAACTTGATTGACTTTGAGTGCTTTGAAAGGCGACTTTAAATAAAATGTATTATTTTTTTTATTTTTTTTCCATATGCATCACTTTAAGTAGGCAATTCTGGCAATGACTCCCTTTTATGAAGAGAGAGGTGAGGACTCATATTTAACGTTCCAACCTATAATTTTTGACTTCTGCAACCTCGCCATGTACAGCAAATTTTCCGGTGTATTTAACCTTCACTAAAAAGTCCTCATTATATTTATTTCCCCCATTCTTACCTCCCACACACTCGTCACTGTAAAATCTCTTTTCACAGAAAACTTTTGTTCATGTGAAATCTCTCAAACTTGACCTTTAACAACAGTCTTTGATGTATAATTTTCTCCCTTTGTCTGCTTCATTTCCTTTTCGCTCAAGTGTGCCTGACATTTAATGTTTTTCACATAAATCTTTATGCCTTTTAATGTCATTTATAAACCTGCCTCTGTGTGAGAGTGCTTTTTCTTCGTAATGTCACTGTTCCTTCAGATGCTGCAAAAAATGTCCATCTTTTCAATGCCTAGTGTTTAAATGTGTCTTCTTTATAAGGGAAATCAAAACATTTCCAAATATGTATATTTCATCATATTCTTAAAGTTATTTTAAGTATTTATTTCATCATCATCCACTATTATATAACTTTTCATTCAGAAATGAAACTTTATTCCCATCTGTCTGATGGATGTGAATGATTTGGCACAAGATGGGCACCATGCATTTCATAAATGTTACAATGCTCATTGCTGTATGACATCATCCTGAACTGAAACAGGAGTACTTTCAATGGATGGATCCATGTTTGATTTGTTCAGTACAGGGAAGGCTGTCCAGCATTCACCTACATGAGTGCTATTGCTACAAGATTTTTTTGAGGCGGTGAGATCATCTGCTGTATATTCAATCTATGATGTGATGATGGGAAAAAAAGACACCACGGCTTTATGTTCTTGTTTTGATATATATGTTGTGTGGTTTTACAGGTGATGGTGACTTTTGACAGTTTTCAGTCAGTTCGGAGGTTTGTGGACTGTGTAGACAGACGATCAGCTTTCCCTATGAAGAGGATGTACAGAACAGAAGACGACAGGGCAGAAAAGGGGAGAAAAAGGGGTGAAAGAGTGTGAGAGAGGAGGCGAGAGTGACACCTTCACACCCAGATGTCAGTTTGCTTGTAGGCCTCCTTCATCGGCCCCCTCTCCGCTCTCCTGTTTGGTTTTAGAGGGCTGTGAAATCCAAGCCAGGCCGAGCCGTGTCACCGGGGGATGAAAGACAGAGAGGGCAGAGGCAAGGGGATGAGAAGTAAGAGGTTGAGAAAGACCCGGGGGTGGAAATGTGGAGGTTACCGGAGAGATTTCATTGGACGGGAGATGGATATAGCTTTGCAAAATTATTGTCTCATCCATCATAATCTCAATGATGTCAGTGGGATTTCAGGATCCAGAGATGGTTTGTGCAACAAGAGCTAATAAAACCCAGACATATATTTTTGATGACATCACATTTTTTATTTCACTTAAGATTTTCACATCTCAAAACAGATTTTTATAGTTTTATCAATGTACAAATTTACATATAAACATTTACAAAATAATAGTTTAAAAAGGAAAAAAAAAAAAACTGTAAAAGAATTCTGGGAACTTTAAGGTTTGACTAAATGCAAGGTGGATAACTTCTGCTAGTCTGCCAGTGTACCGTGATACTGTCAACACAGTGGAAATGAGAGAATGTCCATAAAAACTGAAGGAGCTCAACTCCATTAAACGCTGTCTGGGGGACAGTGTTGTTTTTTTCTTCTTCTCTTGATCGGTGGCTTTCAACCTTATGACAACATCAGAAAGACTTGAGTGGGTGAGAACTTAATAGCACAAAACATAAATAAATATTCCTTCGGTAAAAAGGAATTCTAGTGTTAAAAGAAAAATCATAAATAACATGAAAAATAACAAGTTTCTTTACTGTCTTGTCTGCATAAGTAGAATTAAGCGTCACATTGAAGGCTCATAAGCCAAACAGAAAAGGTGAAAAAGAAGGTTGAAAACCACAGGTCGGATTGAAACCACTTTTTCCTGTGTTGTCTTTACAGTGAACTTAAAATATGTATGATGTCAGATTCTTTCAGCAGCTGCATCACTGTTAGTGTTTGTATCACTGTGATTGAGACAATGAGTTTATTTTACAGATTTGAGGAGATGAAAGAGGGCGCTGAATGCTACACAATAACATGACAGAAATCCTACAAAATGTAAACCTAACTTTGGCAGCAGTGGACAACATTCCCAGTACACAGAAAGAAAAACGATTGTGGGAAAAAAAACAGTTGGATATTAGGAGAACAATGACAAATCTGTACCAATGGTGTGGTAATGCGGGGGTGGGGGGATAGGATAAGAAAGACGATGTATCCTCTTGTCATTTTCAATATGATGATAATCAATGAAGTATCTTGATCAGTTTGCTTGCTTGAAGATTGAAGACAAAAAAAAAAAGAAAAAGTGTAAAAAATTAGAACTTCCATTCCCGTTGAAAAAAAAAAAAAAGTTGAGGTCCTCTTCTTTGGAACGATCCACGTCCAACAATCACACAAACATGCAAACACACACTCACACAACTGTCCATGCTCGAATAAAAATCTGTATAAAAAAAAAGTCTCTGAGTGTTCATGGTCCCAATGACCAGCATCGGGGTTTGCATTGTCTCTGTCTTGGCGCGGCCTTATTGTAGCATGAGTGCTATTAAGACTGGAAGCATTGTAAAGAGGAGAGAAAAGGAGACCAGCTGTTCTCCTGAACTGCCGATACTCCTCTGCACGTTTGGCTCCATCGCAGCAGGGTCATCTGAGGGAAGAAAAAGAAGAAGGATAGTCAGTATTACATTTCATTATTCCAGCTTGGTAAACACAGCCAGCTGAGCTCCTCTCAGACGTGGGACGGACTGCTGTGACTTGCTGTTATGTGTCTGTCTGGGATTTTATTTTGAAGAAACCTCACCTGCTGGGAGCCGGGTGGAGGGGTTGTGAACTCCTCCTGCTGCAAGAAACTTCCCTTTTCCTCCCTCCATGCTGTTTCCTGTATCTTCAGCCTTGGATTTCTCTAGGTGGGTCTTTACGGAGCTTTTGTGCCCGATGACATCTACTTTAAGTCGGAGACAGTCCTGGCCATGGTGGTGCATCGGCTTAGCTGTGAGAAGGCAAAAATAAAAGAGGAAGGTTTAGAGAACAAAGACAAACAGGATTACAATAAATGATCTAAAATTCCAGTCTTTTTGTTGATACTTACAGATATAATAATAGCTTTCTCCTTGTTTGAACTCCTTTCCCAAGGTAAACGGGGTAAAACGCTGGAATTTCTCAGAGAACTTCTCAGGAACGTGGGCAGCGAACGGCCGCGAGCACTCCCAACGCAGCTGGTCGAAGGAGTGGGGTTTGCAAACCTCGTAGTCCTCCTTCTCCACCATGTAGAGCACGTAGCGTTCGGCCGCATGCAGCGACACCTCTCCGTGGCTGTAGTGGGGGCAGATGATGTCCAGGTAGTCGTTGATGCTCACTTCCACCGTGTAGTCATCCCACAAGAAGCTGCAGGGAGACAGGAGGAGAGAGGAGGTTACTGACACATGTCTTCCCGGAAGAATGAGAAATGTTCAATCAAGCCAAACATGATCCGTTATAGTTTCACACACACACACACACACACACGTTGGAAACACACCCAGACAGCTTGGCTCACACAACATGCGTGTTAATAATAATATTAATGAGGCTTAACTACACACACACACATTAATCACATGTTACCACACAGGCACAGCTGCTTGGGTGTAATCAAGGAACCACGTGAGGGTGTTTTTGTTGATGTGTTTTTTTAAGTGTACTTGTGCAAACTTGTCATAGTGACAGAATTAGAGAGACAGATCTTGTCTGACGTGTTAACTTTTTCTACGCACAAAAAAACCCACACCTTGAATCTCATAAAGCCCAACAACCATCACACTCTCGCACCTTTTTTTCCCCCTGCTCCAACCCTTGTTTTGCCTTCAGCAGCGATTTACTTCTCACCTACTCGCACGAAGATGAGATTTTAAATGACAGCGTTTCACCAATCTATCTTTTTACCTCGAGCACTAGTCCACTTTTTTTTTTAAATTATGTTCAAGTCTTTGTCAAGTCTTGTTAAGCTGTTGTCTTCACCTGGATGTTTGTTTATCAGTACAGATTCGCTGTCTCTTTCTGCGTCTCTAAATTTCTCTGTGATTGCTTCAAAGACAGAGAGTAGAGACAGTCAGGCTGTCGCTCTCTTTCCCTCTTTTATCTTTACCCTTCATTTAGTTTTACAGCTCTTTTTCAGCCTCCCTGTCTCCTCTTTGCTCACTTGTCTCGCGCCCCCCCCACCCAGAGTGTCAAAATGATGTGAGCGAGAAGGAGCAAAGGAGGAGAACATCTGTGGTGAAAATGTTCAGTAAAAATACTGTAGTTTTCAGGGAAGTTATAAATAGACCTAAGTTTAACTTTTATAAGTTGTATATTTTTTATTCATGAGGTATATCTTCTCTTTCAGAATTACAAAACATTAAAAACATTTCCTTTAAAGCAAATTTAATTCATGTGTACTGCAACATGGGACAACAACAGCTATAGCATGTTGCTACGGCTAATAAAACTGATTGATATTTTCATAGCACTCCACCTCTGGGGTCTATTCCTTCAAATTAAATCTATTCAAACTGAGTGACAGTCTGTTTTTTTTTTCATCTCTTGAGGAGAGGGAAAGTGACAAAAAAGTCTGCCATTGTTTACGCTTGCTGTAAGTGTGTGTACTACCAAGCATCAAAGCTTGGGATGTGGAGGCTCTGACCCCCCCTTAGTGTTGTTGTGGCTCCTGTTAGGACCCCCTGGCCAAGCCACAGACACAGTGGCTCCAAACGTGGGCCTCTAACCCCTCCTTCCTGCCCTCTGAATGTGTGTGTGTGTTTGTATCACTTTGCACAAACCTACCTGTCAAAACATGCTTTGTTAGCGTACCACAGCTCTATACTTGTTATCCTGGGCTAACAGGCTAAACACCTCCCTCCACATTCAATCACTGCTTTCTCTCTGAGAAAAGGCTCTTTGTAAGAGTTTAAACTGTTGTGCAGGTGTACGCCTTTGTTTGTGTGGGGGTTTTTTTAGGGGCAAGTGTTTCAGTGAAAGGAAGAAACGCAGCCTGTAGCAGCCTAATTGGCTAAACACTCTTTACTTTACCGTGTTCCTTTCTGCTTTGTTTTCTTTGAGTCGGACCGGTAATAAGAGAGTTAGAGAAAACAAGACACTCAGAGATCTCAAGTTGCTTCCTCTGATGTAAGGTAAAGTTTAGAATTGTTTAGGATACACCTTTTCCCCGTGGTGTCCTTGGAAACACATGGCTTGTCAAAGGCCAACACAACAGATAGATTCTGTTGCTAATTTCATTCACGACTCATGCTTTTAAGAAAAACTCTCCTTTTATCTTCCTCATTTCCCCCACCTTTCACCCCTCTCCCACATTGGTCGGGGCTAATTAAAAGCTGTTAGGGGTCTGGGGCCAACATGTTCTCTAGAAAAGGAGGGGAGGAGGAATGAATAGGGTGTAATTATACCCATTCCCTCCCCAAAGACAGAATGCCTGAAGGCTACAGGGCCCCTGCAACCCCTGTGCCCTGTCCCCTGCAGAGCTTTCACTGCTGTGGGTGTGTGTCAAATGTTAGCCAACATGACTAGGGGTGTATTCTTAGTTGTTGTTTTTTTTAACAGTTTCACATTTCCAGATTCAATAATGTTGTATTTTTTTCTTTTGTTTGTATTCTCTTTATTGTGCTCCTGTCTCTAGTGCGCTCTCTACTCGATTTCACTCACTCCTGCAGACACCCTTATCTCCCTGCGGCTCCTCTCGCCTCCTCCAGCTGAAAGTTCTCGGGAGGGTGAGAGTCGCAATAATGTGAGAGAGCGAGGGCCAGGTGTGTGAGTCTTTGCAGACCTACTTTTCACACCGCTTCATCTTCCCGTGTGTGTGGGTCTGTCTCTGTCTGTGCGCATGTTGTCAGCTGAGAGGGATCCTCTGAAGACCCTTATTCAGGGCGTCTCATGCCGCGGGCTCATGAGCACATCTGTTTATCAAGGCCTACTGAAGCCTCTTGTGTGTTTTGTGTGTTTGTGTATGTATATATGTGTGTGTGTGTGATTTCTCAAGTGCAGGTAAACAGTGAGGGTTGAAGGTGGCTGTAGTCTTGCTTCCTTTCTGCCAAAAAAAAAAAAAGGTCATTTCTCACTTCAGAGCTACTCTAGCTTTTGCGTCACTGGAAAAATTGTGTGTTGTAAGGATATAAAAAAGGTATAAAAGTGAAGTAAGTGACTTCTTCAACACATTCCTTCCTAATTTAAGCTTGAAGGCTTTGCCATTGCCCTTGCACTGCTCTTCCACCTCTTTCCTTGTCTTTCTTCCTGCCATCTCTCTCTCTCTCTCTCTCGCTCTCTCGCTCTCTCTCCTTCCCCCACTTCCCCCCCCCCCACCCTGACAACCCCACGACCCCTCCATTTGTCCCCTGAGCTCTTGCTGTTTTCGCTCAAACAACTGACAGAGGAACTCTTGTCTTTCTCCCTCTCTCCGGGGAGAATTTCAAACTGGCAGCCTCGGTCGAAGGGTTAGAGTTCAGGGTCGCAAATTCTCACACTACACACACACCAGCATCTGAGTCAGCACTGAAGATATTTGTGTCACACACACACACACACACACACAGACACACACACACACAGGGCGAGTCAGCATCACTGAAACACTAAACAGATGCAACCCCTCATACACCCCACCGTCACTTGCTCTGCAGGTAATGAGTAGTAAGTGTTCACACGCTGGAATGCCGCATCAGGGGGGCTGCGGTTTGGACCGTTTACTATGTTCCCACTCATCAAATTTCAACTTGTACTCTTACACACTTTTACTTTGAGGTGTATACTTAATACCCTATTAATTTGCGGTGGTATGGCACATTCACACCTTCTTTCACACAGGCTGAGGAGCTGTCAGGGGGTCTAATGGGTTTAGCCACTCACTAGTGGGATACTCCATTATAGCCAATCTAATATACACTGAGAAGTCTCTTTGTATTAGCTTCCAACGTAATCTACCTTCATTCTTCCTCCATCTCATTGCGCTGTAATAAGACACCCAGGGGGAATTCTTCTTCTATAAAGCAGCAATGTAATCTTCTGTCTCTCCTTGGATTATAAATGCAGCACGCAACACTGTATTTCTACTTTTTCTGGAGGACTCTCTGTACCTATAAGACCATGCATGGCATAGTCAGAATGCAGATAATCTCTTATGTACTTTGCAAACGTTTAAAAGTGTCAACACTGCCGTTTCTCACTTATTCAATTCCAAACTTCTCCCCTCCCGTCATCCATCACTGTCCACTCTCTCCTCCCTCCGTCTGCCTCTCCTTTATTCTCTCAAAATCAGCCCATCCCCCCCCCTCCTTCTCCATATTCTCCTGTCTCTTAACGCTGACATAATATACCAACGCTCTTCATCCAGGCTAATTTCTCAACACAAATCCCTTTCTCCAGTTCACCCTTCTTTCACCCTGGCCTCTCCTCCTCCTCCTCCTCCTCTGTGCCCCTGAAATCTTTTCACCCAGCCTCCCTTTTTGTAGCCTCCCATTCTATCTGTGATGAATAGAGGAAGGCCAAATGGTATCATGCTTGGTTTAATATGTTTCGGGGTCATGAAGTGTTAATTTGTGCGCCTGTGTCTGTCTGTCTAGCTGAAAGAGAGATAGACTGAGAGAGGGGGAAACAGTTCAGCAACTTCTAAGAATTAACATTAAATATTCAACTTTTCTTATTAAAAAAAGTTTGAATGAACTGAGGCAAAACAAAACATCCTATTGTCCGTTTGACAGAAAAAGAGGGTTATTTTCTGCCCTTTAGGTGGCGATAGCGGGCTATGGAGTGGACAGTTAGAGCCAAAGTATGCCTGAAATGCTATGAATGAGCAGTGTACACACACACACATACGCATGCCTGCCCACTCATACTATGATAAAGCCATGCTAAAGCAAGCCTCTCTGGTGTTAGCAGAGCTGAGGCTGAGGGGTGCTCTGTCCTCCCGTGGAAAACTACTAGGGGCAAAAGACAGAAGGAGGTCTGTGAGAAGAAAAAAAAAAAAAAAGAGGGGACTGTTGTTGGGAGGGGGAGGAAGTCTGGACCACAGATAAGGAGGAGAGAGGAAGAGCAGGGAGAAAACACAGAGGTGCATATCCCTAAAGTTGCAGCTTGTATTGGCATGAGGGGGGAATGTACATTTAGAAGTGTGTTAGGTAAGGGGACAGTTATATCAGAAGAGAATGTATGTATATAATCCCTCTGATATTAAATGTGCAGGATTCATAGCGAGCCAAATGGGGATGTTCCTGTGTTTGGAACTGATTCAGAGATCTTGGAGATTTGGCATCAATCATCTACTGTGACATGGTCAAGTTATTACGAGATTTATAGAAACTGTGACACAATAACCCACCTACCCAGATACACACACATATAATAATACTATGGAGGACATAGTGAAACAGACAGAAAGTTACATCACAGGCTCACAGAGGCATAAACATCCATAGAATTAAATCAAAAGGATGATGGTTTACTGTCTGTAGGTCAAATTGTCAGATTACATATGTGTAATCTATGTTCGTGTAGTGCTGTCATTCTGGTGGGATTAGAGACCCCGAACCAGACGGGACGCAGGCTGGGGAGGGGTAGACGAGGAGGGGGCACAGAAAAAGTGATCGAGAAAGGGAACAAAATGTCTAAAATGAATGAGTTAAAGGACGGGGGGGGGGGGGGGGGGGGGGTGGGAGGAGGATTTGGAGGGAGAGGGGAGTTCAGCCTAAACTCATCCCAGAGGCTACATGTTCGTGTTGAGGCAGGGCCTGGGTGCTTCGGAGCCAGACACAGAGAGACGGGAGATAAACAGAATATTACATTACAAAACTCCTGATAAGGATATTTGCACGGATACAAGGAGCGCAAGCTACCCTAGATGGATGAAAGCAGCCAAACAACACAGAGATAGTGTTTATAAAAGGAGGCGGTGGGAGCACCCTGTGTCGTGGCATCCAAATCCGTGCCAGAAAGAAAAAAAAAAAGAGATCTTGAATGTATTTAAGTTTAAGAAAAAAGAGAGAGGAGTAGTCCCAGCTGTTAAGGGAAGAGAGAAAGGAGTGAAAATGGGTAGAGGAGCAGGCAGGTACAGTAAGAGAAACACACAAGCACTCTCTCTCTCACACGCACACATACACACAGCTGACAGAGTTTAGTATAGTAACAGCGGGGTGGAATGCAGGCTGTAGCTAATATTAACACCCAAGTTCTCACTCTTGCCGCCGCCCCCCCCCCCCTCCCCCAAGGAGTGTGTGTTTGTGTGTGAGTCACACACGTCCCGGTAAGGCTGTCTACGGTAAGGGCCACTCCTTTTTTTTCTTACTCTGACCCTGCTGCACACGTTTCATGCAATCTCAGTACACAACAAAAACAATAAAACTTTTAAGAGCTGGCAAAGGGCAGCACAGGTTCAAACTCTCCCTTTATTTTTCACACACACACGCTTGTGATTTACACAGGCTGAGACATGTAGTGTAAAAAACAAGACCGGACCAGACTGAGGAAAACATGTCTACACACCTGTCATGGAAGACTACACACACACGCACACACACACACGCACACGCACACACTATGAAATCCCCAAAGGACCTGAAGTACAGGACTAAGCTGTAATCATTCAATAACACTGACAAGTTGGTGAAAAGTGAACACACTCGTGCATTCGTTGTATTTAGAAACACACACACACACACACACACACACACACACACACACACACACACACACCACTACCCAGCATGAATGAATGGACTGACTGCTGCCATCTGGTCACTGTCCCCATCCGCCTAAAACAAATCACTGTCGCTCACAATCCCACCAAGAATCACTAAGCATCAATTATTCACAGCCCTCTGATGGATCAACATAATTCTCCAAACAGGTGACTGATTGATCACTGAGAAGAGAGCAGGTGGGAAACAAGAAGAGAGATGATGAGAAAAAGAGAGAAAGAAGAGAAAGAAGAGAAGGAGGGGGGGGGGCAGAGTGGGCGTCTGGGAATTAGGGATTATGGAGGAGCAATGTAGATTAGATTTTGAAACGTGGCGGAAAAATATAATACGGGCGGCATGAGGAGGTCAGCCGATTATAGTTTCATTTTTGCTTTTAGCTGCTATTATCCTCTCCATACAAGTTTTTTTTTTCACTTGTTACCTCTTAAGAGTACATTTGAACCACAGAAGAATGAGAAACCGCTTTTGGCTTCACAGAAAGCCTGGCAAATGAGAGGGAAGAACAAGAACAATATGAAGAAGAAGAAGAAGAAAAGTTGTATACTATTTGTGATGGTGATGTGTGAAATTATTCCTGTTTTAAGCCATCCAGTAAAGGGGATTAGTGTTGGGTTATGATTTTTCTTTTGGTTATACAACTCCCATTTGACTACAGAAATAGTCTCGAGCCGGATTAAACTATTAGACCACCCCCGGTCTCTGACTTCTTTTTAACTTTATCATCCTTTATTATTTGTGCTAAAAATGGAAGCTCGTATTTCCACCTTTATCCACATACAAACAACAACAACAACAACCCTGGTTCCTATGACTCTCTCTGTCTGTCTACTAGTCCTCTCAGCCTTACCTGGACCTGAACCTGAACCCCACCTCTCTCCTTCTGTCTGTGATGACTCAGGTGTGGCACTCAGGTGGGCTGACTCACAAATGGACTAAGCCATGACACAAGCACTCCTCATGACGTTAAAAAATTTCCATGGGACTCTTTATTCAATTATCAGGACAATCAATTATGTGTTCCTTGTTGTGGGGCTTTTTCTTTTTTCTTAAGCCCCGCGTCTATTGTCATCCTTAAAGGCCAATTAGAAAGCCAGTGATGTAATCAAGACACGACTAAAAGGCCATAATGGCCCTTGCCCTTGTTGTTGTTTTTAATCGACCTATCTTTGCCACTGCCCGTCTGTTTCAGCTCGGGTATAAAATAATGATACTGTCTTTCAGGCGTGGGGAGTGGGGATCACTCGCTCCACGCTAAAAGCTCAATAAATCGCGCGGTGATATTGCGCGTCTGTCAAGCTCCATCGATTTCACTGAGTGGTTGGATTGCATTACATTTCTGACCTCAGATCTAAATAATCAGCAATGTGTTCTTCTCTCTCTCTCTCTCTCTCTCTCTCTGACAGACACTATCTCTATCTACCCCACTGTGAAATACTTACTAAGAATAAATCTGATAATTAAATTAACCTCCTGATTCTCTCATTAATTGTCTTTCCATGACACACACACACACACACACACACACAGGTGCAGTCCCCGCACACAGTGTCACAGGCCAAGTTCATACTTGTCGGTCTATTTTCTCCTGTTAGACAAGTCTGTGTCTATGTGTTAAATATAGGCTAATGTGTCCATCTGTCTGGGCTTTCACTGCTGCGTTCAAGTCTGCTTTTCCACGTCACATGAATCTGTAATTGTCACATGAATGAAGCAACAAAAAGGAGCCTGTGACATAGTTGTGTCATTAAAGCGCGTGAGCAGCGTTAGGGGTTTTGTTTATTGTGACAGTAGCAATTACTTTACATGTGGCAAAGATACAATACAAAAATAAATCTGCATCCACACGCCTTTTCATACATCAGGAAATACACACAGCCAAAGTAGTTACTGATTGATCTAGTACAACTACTCACATTAGATGCAGCCAGTCACAAATACACGCGCACATGCACTCATGCCAAACATAAGCATACAAATGTAGAGGAACACTTACAGTGGGTTCGAGCTGTTCCAGTAGACGCTGTGTCTCTCCGCAGACGCAAACCAAGCACTGATGCTCAGCGTCAAATACACTAAACACACAAAATCCATCGCTCGTCTTCACAGGAGGATCAGTTAGTGCAAGTTCTGGGCTGCAAATTACAAATATCTCTGCTAAAGAGAATCAAATGCGTAACTACGTGCACGAAAACAAAGCGTGAGTTTCACGCTCCGAGAGTAGTTATCAATATAGCTCAAAGTCAGTCAGCTCACCAAACACTGTCGAAACTCTTGACTGCACCTCACACGCTCTACTTGTCTGTTTTGTCCGCGAGTGCCCCCGCCCCTCAATGTGCCGCCAGCCAATAGGAGTGAAGGTAATCTGAATGCCCCGCCCACACCCCCCATCCCTCCCTCTACTTGAGCTTTAGACCAGAAAAACACAAAAACAACTTCATACAACCATACAAGAAAATTTGTACAAGAGTAATAAACAACAATGAGAATATCAAAGTCATAAAATGAGAATTATAATCCATCGAAAATGACAGGTTTACGATTTTTAATAATACTATTTGACCATTTATTGTGATACTTTAGTCTAGGTAACCAGAACTAATAGCCTAATTAATGCGTTGAAGTTAAGCTATTGTGGAATAATATTGGTGAATATTGGTTTGGGTCCTTTATTCTGTAATAATGTTTAAACTAATTAGTGTGCATAGGCAGAGTTTAAAATTAAAATAAATGAATAAAATGGTAGTGGATATTAAAGCACTACCTTTCCCTCTGAAAATTTGTTAAGGGTGTAGACAGGCATAAAATACTCATGTTTAGTACAAGACCCTTGTTATTGTCCAGATAAGTAAATTAACTCTCTATTGTCAACCAAGAAAAATATGGTAATATTATTTAAGTCATAGTTTGTTTGTTTTTTGGTGGGGGGAGTTATTGTTGTTGTGATGTAACATAACACATGTAGCTGGTTTGGGTTGCATTGCTTTGTGACACACGGTATCTTGCAATTCATTGTATTGCATTATATTGTTCTGTTGTTGTAACGCATTCTAATGAAGTTCATCATCTTGATTTTGTTTGTATTGTGTTTGCAATGTGTTGCACTTGAATATGTTGCATATTGATCAGGTTTGACTCTGGTTGTTCCACTGGTGGTGTTTCAATAATTCCAGAGCCATGTGCAGAGAGAGAGAGAGGTGTGTACGTTAGAGGCTCTTATTGAGCAGGTTTACCTGTGTACTGATTACGTTCTGTCAGATAGAAAAGAGTTATTACCATCCTATCAGTGAGTGGGATCTCTTAGTCTCTGCTTAGCTGCGTCCACAGACAGGTAACGTTTAGAAAACATCCTCACAGATGGAGTGGATAAAGTCCAGACAGTATAGGATTGTAGCCCCAGCAGGAGAAGGTTTCCCTCGGGCAGGTATGGAGCCTGGTCGGGGTGAGCTGGTGAAGTGTGTGTGTGTGTGTGTGTGTGTCTGTGTCTGTGTCTGTGTCTGTGTGTGCAGAAAAGCTGAGTGTGTGACTGTCTCTAGGCTTGACTGGGCAAGCTCACACATGCTCTGGCACTCTGAGAGGATCACACACACATACACAGACACACAGACTGTAGATCCTGTAGGCAGTAGGGGGTTAATCACTGCTGAGGGGGCTTTTCCACTCTAGAACGTCTCCCCAACATGAGAGAAATAGGAGGGTTGTGGGTGAGGAAGTGAGGTAATTTGTGATGAAGAATAATAGGTACTCTCTGTCATTTTATTATACATGTATACTTATTTGTACATTTGGTTTTATTTGTATAATTGTATATTTTCTGATATTAGGAATCTACAGGCTTGCTCTAATAGTATTTTGTTGTACTTGTACAGTGACAATAAAGATATCTTATCTTATCTCTTATCTTATACTCGTTCATGCTTAATTCTCCTTGCAACCTCTGGATAAAAAACAAGTGTCTGTTCATGTAGTCCTTTCCTTCTTTCCCTTTGCACTACTGACATTAGACACGTTAACATGTAGCCTATACATATTGATTTCCTCGAAGGAATGACTGAAATGTAAATACTGTCCCAGCAGGTCCAAAACTAGCCAATGATTCATGAGCCTCAGACAACAAGCAACAGGATCCTAGAGTTCTCCTTCATAAAAAAACAAGAAGTATAACTTCCAGGCCTCTTCCACACATGCACTGCTGAACATTTCAAGAACAATTCAGGATAGAGTGCCCCTAAAATGTTCTAAAGTTGTCCATTTATTTATGACCCTCACAGCAGGACATTTTCCCCCGGTTGGATGGGAAGGAGGCCTCATCATTACATATACTTGAAAAGGACGCTGCGGTAGTCACCGTAATATTAACAATGATTTCAAGGTGGTGGGTGAAGCAACACAGTCCGATGCTATGATGATTTCTTTCCTTTATATAAATGCTAAGCATATGTGGATGTATTCACAGTATTAACGAAATAGTGTAGGAAAGAGCATGAACCACCTTCATCGCGTGCACTAAGATCCCAATGTTCACATACGCACAGGAAAAACGATATTTCATCAGCTGACTCACTTGCGTTGAATTTTCCCAAAGTATTACCTGCTGCTTCACACATCAGCTCTCCCCGACTTAACGTGGAAATTTAACTAGAGGGCTAGCAGCAAACATTGTGGGTAAAGTGGAATGAGAAATTTTTGTGAAATTTTCAGGAGTTCAGAGCATGCTTGAATGCGGCTTTAGAGCGACCCTCTTTGCCAGAAGACTTCTGCTACTCAGACATGGTATCTCCTAATCATGCGTTCATGGAATACATAACCAACTACGTAGAAAGACAAAAACAGAATTCTAAAAATTCCCAACCCACAAATACACCTCCTCTCCGCTGCTGCAGCCAAGAGTGAGATGGCTAAGGTCGCCCCTGACATACATGAACCCAAACACATGAAGGCAGGCATTTCCCTCCTCGTTGCAGGCTCTTATGATCCTGCTGTCCAAACCATGGATGACTCTTATATAGTGAGACGTAATCCTCCCACAGCCCATACAGCCACACACATGGATACACACAGACAGGGAAGACCAGGGATTCTGCGAATGACAGGAAAGAAGAAAAAACTTGATGGCTCAAAAGAGGAGAACTTGCAGAAAAAGTGTTATAGAGAGCTTGACAGCTCTAAAAGTGGATTAAAGGAAGCCGGAGAAGACCTGACAGCCATAAAACCTCTCAGCAAATGGAAATGGGTGTGTTTATTTTCTGAAGAATTTGCCTCCAAGGTGGCTCAGTATCTGCCACAAGTTGTTCAGCTATGGAAATCCCACAATTACATCACATTTGTAATTAGAGTTTTAAAAAAAAGAACTCGTGTGGTGCTACCTGTACTTTTCAATACCTGATTTTCTCTTTCGCTCTCAACAATTCCAGACGCATTTTTATTGGAGGGAAATTTGATGAATGGTTTTGGGAAATGAAGAGATTCATAAACAAAAACAGATGGTGTCAGAGCGAGAAGAAAAGCATTACTTAAGCCTGGCTAGAATAAATATTTTGAGAAGTGGGGTTAAGGATATGTGGGAGACAGCTATTCTTGTAAAAAAATAAAAAATAAAAAAAAAAGACAGAATCCTCTCAGACCATTATATTTTCAGGCTTACTCCCCTCTTCCAATTCTTCCTCTTCACTCTTACCCTGTTGGCCTCAGGCAGGGATCAAAGCTGGTCAGGGACCTCTGTCTGGAGATTTGGAGAGGTTTTTCTGAGACACACATACACACAAATAAGATGGAGAGGAGGAGAGAGAATAGATCAAAATTAGGTGGAGTGAAACTTTGAAAAGTAGGGTGTTACAGATTGACATGGGTAGACATGGAAACAGTGTGAGTCAGCCACACTGAAACATAACAGGGACCGAGCAGTGGAGAAACTCCTCCGGCAGGTGTAGGAACCCATCTGCCTAAACACAAGCATGTGCTTGCACAGGTTTTTTATTGGAGTTTAAAGATGTGTAGGAGTGCACCAATCCCTCCTGCGGTCTATGCTGTTGCTTCTTTTAGAAAACGTTACGATCACATTTGTGCCTCCTTTTTGTTTTTCTTGCTGTATCACATCATGCCCTCAAGCTGATGTGCCATTTGTGCTTCTCCTCACTTACCCCTCCTACTGAGAGTTACGTTAGCAGAACTGGAAAAAAAAAAAGGTCATAGGGAAGATCAACATTATGATCAAATGAAAAGGGTATAAAGGGGCTTAAACACCACAATATGCTACTTAATGACTCCAGCTGACCATCGATTGCATGTCAAATAGTTGCCTATTGTTCACCCAGCCTTTGTCATTACCGTTAGCTTAGCCTTGTTAACACTTGGCATTGTTTGGCCTACACATGGACAGCTTGTCGCCCTGCTGCCCTCTGTCCCTTTATCCCCCGGCCTCCTGCAGGCCCTTGGCCCTCTGGCTCATAGCAGCACACTCCGACAAGCTGCTCCCTCTCTGGCACCACAAAGGCATGTCTCCCTAAACCCCTATTCATACCCATTCATCTGCATACAGGTGGACCCCCCCCCCCCCCCCCCCAGAAGGGAGGCACACTTATTCTTAATGGTGCTCCATTTGTTTCAATTAAGGCGAGTTGGGAGGGCAAACAGTATTTCTTGCAATGAAAACAGTATTTCTTGCAATGCTTGGAGCACCTTTTGGAGGATATAGCTCTTCCCAGTTGTGCAACTCATGAGTCGACAGGGGATCAAAATAAGTGCAGGGAAACGCATACAAACACACTAACACAATGTTGCATGTGTGTGTCAGTAGGGGGTAAATGAGCCTCCTCCCCCTCTTCCTGGACGAACACTGTGTCACTATTCAGACCATAGGAATCATTAACTGGCCCAGTCAACAGGCACACTTCACTCGTTCTCTCTCTCCCCGCTGCTCTGTTCTCCTTTTGGTCTCCCAGGGATTCTCACCTCACACACACACACACACACAGACTTACACCAGCACACAAAAGCACAAACGAACCCCAGTGAAATATTTAACCACGCTAGTCAGCTTGTATTGCCTGCACCATCATTTGTTATACTGTATCTCCTTGTCTGTCCCCGCCTGTTCTCTCAGCTCATCTGTCGTTTCTGCTGTCTCTTCTTCCTTTCCTTTCTTCTCTTCATCTGTTCAGTTATTTCCACAGAGCCCTCACCAGCCCCCGGCCAGAACAGTCTGGGTACATCTTTCTCTGATTACTTTACTTTTTTCTTATTTTCTTTTCACATTGGCTAGCTCTTGAGCATCTTGCCT